GGGGGGAGTGAGGTGGCAGGCGGGTGACATGATTGAAGAAGGACGAACAGTCCGCTGCCCTGCCGCCTAGCCCCGCTCCACGCACCACCCCCTTTACTTTTACCCCATCTGCGGCGCATTGACTAACGACTCTTTTGACGGTACGAATCGATTCGCTAAAATGCCACCTACATTCGTGTAAATTGCCACCCGTGAGCGGGACGGAGCGCGACGGACGAGCGCGGCTTTCAAAAGAAGCCACCATTTCGTGTCGATCCAGCAGAGTGCTGACGGCGCCGGCGGGCGGCCCGGCCCCCGCGGCCACGCGTCCCCAGTGCGGAGTCCGTCGCAACCGGAGGATGGAGTTCTCGGAGCTGCTGTTCGACGCGGACAGCGACGACTACCTGGTGGACGACTCGCCGTCGGACCTGGTGCGGGAGGCCCTGGAGGGGGGCGTCGTCGACGACGGCTACGAGGACGAGGTAGGCGACATCAGCAGTGCGAAGGCAGCGGCAGCAGTAGGAATGATAATTCCCCCCCCCCCCCAAAAAAAGGTGGAATGTTTTTGAAGAATATTGTTTTGGTGCCTGATTTTTTTTAATGTTTATTTTGCTTCGATTTTTCGGGAAATGTTTCATCACCCCCCCCCCCCCTCTTTTCCTTGAAAAGTTTCCAATTTTTCCGGAAATATGTCGGAGAATCGCGTTGTTAGCTGCTGCCGTTGTTATGGTGTGACGTGTCGCCAGGACGCTCCCGAGCCGATCGGGGCGGTACGGGTCCGCAAGTGGCAGTTGACGGTGCCGGTCGTCCTGGCCTCCGTCTGCATCCTGGCCGCCTTCCTCGCCTTCGCCGTCACGTGCGTGCTCAGGGTGCTGGTGCCGCGTCGGCCGCGCCGCGCCAGGAGGTGGAGGGGCTTCCAGAACCTCGACAGGCTGCGCAGTCTGTGAACGACCCCCGGCCCCTTACCGACTCGCGTCCCGTCAAGGAACGTGGTTCGAGACCGTGTTGGCCGCTTTTACTCGCTGAGGAAGAGTTTGCTGAGCAGCTAAGCCCTAGCTAGGCGCCAACTAGTCGCGAAAAGGGATTTTTAATTTTGATAACGATACGGTCAGAACTTTCAAGTGCACAAGTACCGAGCGTCTAACTGAACCATTTCAAGAGTTTACCGGTTGAAACACTTGGTTTGTGAGTGCTGACCGTGAACACGTGGCTTTATCTCTCCCGTATAATCGCTAATCGCACTATGTTTCTCAAGCACTCCATGTTGTCGAACTTGAAAGACGCAATGAGTGGTGAATATATCATGGAAATAAAGAAGCAGAAGACAAATCAATAATGTTCATTTTTATTTTAAAAAAGTTTTGGTACACAGCTATAGCTCTCCAGAAGTATTAGCACTACTTCTTGTAATCCACTTCTGTCATAGCCTTCTCCTGAGGCACGATAAAGGAATGAAGTATGTATTTTCTCATCCGACAAATGCGTGCGTGCAAAATGTCTACCATATCCTCGAGAGGAATCTTTCCAAAATAAGGTCTACTCTACAATAATACTTACGGGATGCACAATAGGAATTAGCAATGTTCAGTCTCCCCCCTCCTGTTCCCCTACCACATGGGCATGAACTCTGGGCTCCAGTCCCGGCCCAGGAGCTCCGACACCCGGGCGCACGCCGAGGCCAGGTCGTGGGCGGCGTCCTCGACGAGGCACTCCTCCATGACGACGAGCTGGGCGAGGCGCGCGCCGCAGCGTTCGGCGAGGTGCACGAGCGCGGAGCACGTGACCTGACACTCGGCCAGCCCGAGGGACGACAGCTGCTGGCAGTTGGAAGCGATGTCCAGGAGCTGCTTGTCGATGACGGAGTTGCCGTTGGCGCCGACCACCAGCTCCACGAGGCGCGGGCAGCACTCGCTCACACGGCCTGACGCGCCGAACAGAGACATTTTCAAATGTTCGATGCACTTGAAAATTTGAACTTTTACCTTCACTTCAAAATTTAACAAATTTCTTTTTACTTCA